AAATGGTTTAGACTTAACTTTAATGTACGATTACTTCTATTTAGTCAAGTCCTTTTCGAACACAAGTAACAGAAGGGGAGGATTTTGTGGAACATAAGTCTTGTAATATCTCTATGTGAAACAATTAACAAGAGTAAATCTTTAGTGTTTATTAAGTTCTTAGAGAAACTAGGTGTAAGTGTTCCCGATAGGTTCATAACACCATACTCCTAACTAAAACAATTCTTCCCTAGTTTTTTGCATGCAAAGTGATAAGTTAGGTATTTCCAAATCCTTGCTCCAGCACTTAGAGAACTTCACCTCGTACCTTGGTCCGGCTACGTGTATCTAAGTTACTAACCCTTACATTTACTTCATACTAAGCATCATATTTGATGTATGGTTTATTCATTACTTCTCACCAATCGAGACTAGCCTATTAGTTAGTATCCCTCTAAATCTATGTTTATAATTCTTTTCCTATTCACTACCTCCTTAAACTAGCAAGTAGTAATAAGGCTAGTACTAATGTTTTCACTCATTAAAAAAACTTCAAAGCGAAAGAATTATCAATTCATGCAATAACCTATTTGACAATTGTTATTAAGCTAGGTTTACTTTGTTAATCACCCATGGTTCCCACAACCCCAGTTGTGGATTTAGATACAACTGCATAGTTTAACAGAACTCATTGTGGATAAATAATAAATCATGAACTTACTTTGACTAATTTGATGAAAATCCAGAAATTCAACTTCAAACAATAAGAATTCACTTGAAAACTAAATCCATAAATTTGAATTAATGCTAAATTTTCAAAACCCAATCTCCAAAGACAAACTTAGAATAGTAGTAATAGAATCCAACCCCAAAAGTGAGGTATTAGACCCTATTAATAGAGAATATTGTCCTAAATTAAATGGAATTTAAATAAGGAAAGTTGTCCCAAAGCGTGGATTCAATCGACGACCCCCACGGAACGACGAACCGTCAACTGCCTCCGTAAGTCAAGACTTAGCATCTTTCTTTCATCCTTCAACTAGCATCTTCTCTTATTCAATCGACGTACCAATAGAATGTTCTATTGATGCGTCTACGATCCGTCGATGCCTTTTGTCGTTCGTTCTTTAGACTTTCTTCAACTTCTGGTATTCGGACTTTCTCTGATCGGATCGATGCTTAAACAGGACGGTCCGTAGATTGATCGACAGACCATCGATCATTCAGTAGACCCACACTTGGTCAGATTTCCCTGAGTTTCTCCAGATGCCTGAACTTTTAGTCGATGGTCACCATCTACTGTTCGTCAATGAAATGACGGGACATTGATGCCTTCGTGTGTCACCTATAAAATAAATCTCATCTGCCTTGTGCGTTTTGGTTTTTGACAACTTTCCTGCAAAAAAAAAAGATAAAAACATATTAAAACTTCTCAAAAAGGCTCTAGATACACACCATCTTAAGGAAAAAGCATTTAAAGTATCGTGAAACCACGATACATCAACACACTAAACTTAAATTCTTTGTTTGTCCTCAAGCGATGCACTATGACTCAAAACAATACTTTGTACAAAGGTATCCTCTTTTAAACTTTCACAATCACTTAACTATCAATCCCAACTTTTGTCGTTGCTTTAGTGCATCCTTCTATTCTTAGGTTTGATAGTCTAACTCATGTGGATCATACCATGACATAGAATCACCATGCAACGACATCTCTACTCTTTTGCCTCTCTCCAAGGTACCAACTTTATGATATTGCAACTAGTTCCCTCACTTCAAAAGATATCCTCTTTTTTTGCATAGTGTTTTTAACTTTGAACATAGGGATCGTTATTCCATACTCACGCTCAATACAAATTCACACCTAGTTAGTACTTGTCTTCATAGGCTTGACCTTATTTTCACTGCTTAAGTTCACCATATTCGACTCTTAGGATCACGATAGGACTTTCTTGGCTGGTAACGTAGCTCAGGATTAGGTATGGTACATATGGACACATTTTAGTGACTTTTTTATGTCCTTGGCATAACAACCGTCCTCCCTCTTTCATTATCTATTATGCCCTACTATTCTTTTCTTGTCATCTTTGCCTTGTTTTATTCTTTGTTCTTTGTGGAAGTGACTCTTACTTCTTATTCTTAAACTCTTTTTCTTTGTTTTTTCTCTTCTTATTATCATATTTTTTGTATTTTTTTGTCTTTTTTTCTTTCATTCAATTGAAAATTTTAACTAAGTCAGTTCTATTGATCACTTTTTCTTTCCTTCTCCAACTTACTCTTTCATACCCATATTTTTGATCATTACTCATAATACTCACCCTCACTTATGGTTTTTCAATGAGTCGAGGTACACATTACCCAAGGTTGGTTCAGGGACAAGACGAGATCAATTTCTGCATTAGCCAACCTCAACTTTTCTTTTGGCCTAAGTTAAGGTGCACATGTCCAAGGAGGGACCACCAAACATATTATACGCAGGGAAGATTAGTTGGTGAAGAAAAGAAAGGTCTATTATAGGCTGAACATATTTTGATCAAAAAGGGGAAATAATTTCTTTTGTTTCACTTTTACTGCAGGCTAGATGTTTGCTAATTTTGAACAAGGGCCTATGATCTTTTCCTAGTTGTCTAAATAGATTCCTTTTGCAGGACTAACCGTACAAGTTATAGCTTGGTACCAAAAGTGAAAACAATCATATTTCCTCACACACTCTTGACACCTAGTTATGCTATCAGATTGTCAGACACTTGGTTTGAGTGTTATATTGAGGGTCATGCAGTGGGTGCATCGCTATGTCATAATTAGAGCCAACACATTCAACTTCTTTATACCTATTCATCCAAGCATTTTCTTAGAAAGAGATATCATTCATGTTTAGCAATAATGCTTCATATTTCACTTTCATACTTTGTACAAGTTACGACATGCCAGTTCAACAGGAAAGTAATTTATCCCTTGAGGACAAAGAACATAGCCAAGAAAACCCCTAAGAGAGGATCATGAGTTGGGCTACTATGATTTCACCTTAACACTCACTTTCCATTTACCCCACCACAACAAAAAAAACATGCAGTTGTCGCCAATGCATGAAAAGTATAAAGACAGCGTGATAGGTGAAGCAAAACTGAGGCACATAGCGCCGAAGATCAACAAACAGGGCGGTCTAGTTTCTCGAAACCCGCAACCTTTGTAGTAGGGACACCCTCAGTTGTGCCCTCAGAAATCATTGCACCCTCAGATGTGTCTCTTTCAAATGCCTCAAGTCAAAAACTAGATGCCTCAACAGCGAACTCTCGAGCCCTCTTCTGAGGGGTGTCCTCATAAATCAATGAGACTCTCGTCGCAGCCTCAAGGTCCATCTTCTCGTTCTTCCTTGCACAGGCATACTCTCCTTCAGTGGTGCGACTAGATCAATGCCTCCTAGCACGCTCACGTGGATCAGGTAGAGGTGCAGTTGGGGCAGTGAATAGTGTAGCAAGCATTGTGTCCTCTGCTAGCTCAACGGGTACAATCTCGGGCTCATGTCCCTTCATCTCTAGGATACAATCAACATCTCCTCACCCAAAACTCGCCACAGCCTCCTGAAGAGTAGTAAAGTCAATGGTGAGGACTGGGCTTATAAGAACCCATAGCTCAAATGCATCAAGTCGCTAGTGACCCACCCAAATCATCCGCTACGTCAGCTAGCCACCGTCTTCTCAATCAGGTCCTTAGCCTCGGCAATGGATTTCTGCATCCAAGGCTAGATATGATGCAGCAAGGTGGACATCTAGTCCTCTAACTTCTGGACCCTATCTTGTGTTGCAAACGGTGGAGTACACCGGAAGAAACTGAGTGCTCTACTAGTTCCATGGGCGGACTCGGCCGAGGTGGTCTTAGTAGGCTCTAAATTGGCAGGATCAGCACCTTGGGATAACTCTACCGTATTCACTAATTTCTCACTCAACGACTACAACTCAACTCTAGGACCTGTCTGAGGTGCCTCCACATGAGCCTCATCCCTGATGATATCTATATCCATAGTCGCGGTTGGAGTATGGAGGGCATAATATTGCAAACGAGGCACTCCTTTATCCCTACACAATCGGATGATCAAATAGGTGAAAGGGTAGCTAGTAGGGGTCTTTAAAGATCTCTCATGTGTCTCCAAGATCAATAACTTCGTGAAGTCAATCTCCAACCCCGCCACCAATGCTATAACCAATACCGCTCTATCCCATGTAAAAATGTTATCTGCAGCCGTGGGAGATAGGAGGTGGCGGACTAACAGCCATAAGAACTTGGCTGTGAAAGTGAGTTTGGCCTTTCTGATAAGGCTTGTGGGGTCCAACACTCAATTTGCTCCCTCATCGTCAATGGACAACTATTGTGCAATCAACCTTTTGGTGGATTCTCTCTGATCTCTGCTACTTTAAAACATGCCACTCTTGACAAAATTCAACTTATAATAAAATGCTGGAGTAACAGGATCCCTCGGAGTTTCAGTGGGCACACCGTACAGGAAGCGGCAGATGGAAGTAGGAGAAATATCCATACGATAACCTCAAACTGAAACCTTTTTGGGTGGGTCCTAATTGGTAGGTTTCGCCCGCGTGTCCAAAGAACCTGTAAGAGTCATTACATATGAGGCATAGAACTCTCTAACAACCTCCTCTCTATATGACCCCAGACTCCTAGCCATCCACTCAAGCCTGTGGCAGGTAAACAAGCTATGCACATCAGCGAATATGTGAAGACTCCTTGTAAGAACTCTCCGGTCGACTATCACCAATTGAGTCATCACCAACTTTTCATTCAGCAGCTTTCCATCCCTGTTGAACTTGTACTGACCATCGACACACCACCGGTTTGGCTCATTACGATTAGTGTAAGATATCATCCTGGGGTGCCGGAGTACAATCCGAATTATGGGCCTCATCAGTCAAGGCATGGCGGGTAGGTACCTCTGGGTTACTTGCTTCAAGTTATCCAGAACTGTAGGCAGTGTCCTCATTAGACACCGTATAGTGGGATGACTATTAACTTGATGCCGCTTTGGATCCAGATGCTCTTTTAGAAATTGAGGCAAACCAAGACGGTGTGCTGGTCAGTGTGCGCTCCTCACCAGACTTGGAGGCAGTGACTACGCTGGAAGCCACCTTGTTGAGGGTTCCCTGAGTGGCTCTTGCATCTGGTTTAGGGGTCCGAGTTCCTGGGAACATGTATTGAGGATCCCGCTCATCGGCATACATGCCAATCATCCGATGGGACGGTGCCACAGACTTTGACCTGCCTCTGGAATAGATGATGTCTTGTTTGGGAGCAATCTGTACCTGGAAAAAGTTTATTAGTCTCATAGAAATATTACTATACACACAAAACAATCAAACCAAAAACATTACACACAAATCACAGTCCTGTGCAAAAATGCAATACCGGTAGATGAGCTTTATCGACGACCCTTCAATTAATCGACGGGCTGTCAATAGAGCCCTTTGTTGGATACTTAGGAAAATCTTCAGTGTTAATTATAAAGACCTCTCAGTTTGAAATGATGGACGTGCAAAAGGGCCTTTCAATAAATCGACAAACCATAGTTCACTTCCGTCATGTGACACTTAGAATAATTTTTAAGTTCTCATAAATGAGGATTTTCGATAGAAACGATGGATGCACAGAATGGTCCGTCAATCAATGAATAAACCATATTCCACTTTCGTCATCTCAGATCTTAGTAATTTTAAGGTTGATCAAATCGATCAACCCCATCGATGGCCCATCGATCAACTAACGGTCCATAGATGGGGTCTCATGCAGTTGGTCAAAGAGAACTTTCAGACCTTGTTTTTTAGTGACAGAGTTTGACATCTTTTAGACACATCATAACAACTACAAGACCAATTCTTCATTCGTAGGGTTTCGATTTTGCAAGGTTCTACGATGTTACCAAACCCTAAGTAGGAAAGTCAATAATCATAATTTATGCAGATTACACCACCAACCATTCACTTTCTATCATTCTAAGGGACGTATAACCAACTATTTAACAAGTGAACACATACAATTTTGTCCCTAAGTCAAGACCCACAATCCAATTTTCGTATCAAATAGAAAATGAACGAGATTTCATTAAGCAAAGGGAATCAAAATACCTGAGAATCATATTGGAGTGATTGGGTGAGTGATAATTTAAACAACCTACGTGCCCACCTTTGAACACCGATTGGAGAAATTAAATGAAAGAAGTAGCGTCTGAGAAAGAGTGGGTTTTGGGAGTTTTGAACATTCTGATGAAAAAGGAAGGGGGAGTTATGGAGATATTAAGGGAAATGAAGGAAATAAGGGGAGGGAAATGGTTGGGAAAGAATTTGAAAAGATTTTTTGAGGTTATTTGAATAGTTTTATTTTAATATAATCGAACATGTCGGGTTGGGTCAGTAGTTCTTTGGATTGACAAAACCCTGTCGATGGTCCGTAAGTCAGTTGACGGATCGTCGATTGGACCATAAATGGCAAGAAGACTTAGAAAAAAATTACATGACATATGTGGCATATACAAACACCATAGACGGTCTATCTATGGAACGACATCCCATCGATGATGTCCATAGATTATGCAGAAATCTTTGTTTTGGTCCCTGCACATTGAACACCCATTAAGGTATTATATTTTTGATTTTTTTTTCTTTTTTTGACACTTTTGAGTCACAGACCCTGACGTACTGTGATTTCATAGCACTTTCAATGATTTTTCCTTAAGATTGGTGTGTGTTGAGAGCCTTTTTCTACTAATTTTAATATGTTTTTGTCTTTGTTTTGCAGGAAAGTTGTCCAAAATTGAAATGCTGAAGGTTGTGGAAATTGAGTGAATATTTGACCACGAAGACCATCGACGACCCATCGACCTATCGACGGACCGTAGATGGTGACATCAATTGGAGGTTTAGGAATCTGGAAGCAACTCGGGAAATTTTTACTAAGTGTGGGGCTGCGGAAGGATTGACGGAACATCCTTGAAAAATGTCGATGTGATCAGAGAATGTCCCAGTACCCAATGTTGAAGAGAGCCTAAGTATGGAACAACGAGAAGCATCGACAGACCATGGGTTTATTGACGGATTGTGTTGTTGGTCCGTCGATTGGATTAGAGAAGATGCAAGTTGAAAGCTGAAAAAGATGCTAAGTCTTCACCGACGGAGGGAGTTGACGTTCCATTGTTTGATCAACGAATAGTCTGTGGGGGTCATCGATTGAAGCCGCATTTCGGACAAACTTTCCTTATTTGAAGTCCTTTTAATTTAGGACTCTGTTTTATTATAAATAGGGTGAAAACCTCATTTTTGGGGTTGGATTATTTTACTAGTTTTATACTTTTGTTCTTGGAGGTCTGTCTTTGCAATTAATTCATATTTACGGACTTGGTTTTTAAGATCATTGTGTGATTTCAAGTTGAATTTCTTGATTTTCTTTTAATTTGTCAAAGTAAGTTCATGATTTATTGTTTATCAATTATAAATTGTGTTATTCTAAGAATGGGTAACTAAATCCCTAACTAGGGTTGTTGAAACCATGACAGATGAACAAAATACACCTAGCTAAATAACAATTTTCAAATCTTTTATTGCGTGCATCAATAATTTTTTCGTGTAGAAGTCTTTTTAACGAGTGCATGCACTCAACTCTCCTTATTGCTCCTTATCGGACCAAGGGGGTAGTTAATAGAAAAAAAATTATCGACAGAGATTAAGTGGATAGTATATAATAGGCTAGTTTCGATTGGTGCGAAGTAATGACTAGGCCATACATAGAATATGATGCTTAATATGATTTAAAGGTAAGGGTTAGTAACATAGACACACATAGCCGGACAGAGGTACGAGGTGAAATTCTCTAAATATCAGACCAAGGATGTAGAGATACATAACTTGTCACTTTGCATGCAAAACACTAGGAAAGAATTGTTATAGCTAGGATTATGGTGTTATGTACCTATGGGGAACACTTACACCCTAGTTTCTCTCACAACTTGATAAACACTAATTATTTAAACTTGCTACTTGTTTGATTTCACAACATTACAACACTTTTGTTTCACAAAATCCACTGTTGAATTACTACCTTTCAGAAAGGACTTAACTAAATAGAAGGTGATCATATACTGAAGTTAAGTCTAAATTATTATCCTCGTGGGATCGACCCCATTCTAATAGTTGGATTCTTTACTTGATACGACCGCTTATACTTCTTTAGGGAAGTGTAATTTGAGTGTATCAGACCCTAAACTAATCTCTAGCCAACACATTAAAATATTAACTCATGAACATGAGTAAAAAAAAAATGAAACAACAAAAATGAAACAAGAGAATGCAACTATTCCTACAAAGAAAATAAAAACTATTTTTGGCTAGTAGATACACCTTGGTTTGCCTACGAAGAAGCGCTTGCTTTAACATCGTGGCACGATGCAAGATCCTTGATTACTTATACTTCATCAAGGCGATATGGCTCAACCACTCCATGGACACTTTCCGCATGCCCTAGGTAGATATCCTTTGCCCGTTGACAGTGAACATTGCACCCTCCTTGTTCTCTAACTCAACCGCTCCATGTGGGAGCACTTTAGTGATAAGGAAAGGCCCCGTCCAGTTGGACTTGAGTTTTCACGGAAACAGCGTAGCCTAGAGTTGTATAGAAGCACCAAGTCCCCAACCGCAAATTGTAACTTTTCAATATTTTAGTCATGGTACTTCTTCATCTTCTCTTTATAGATGACTGAACTTTCATATGCTTTTAGGAGAAACTCATCAAGTTCATTTAACTTATTAAGTCTTTATTCCACTGCTTCATTGTAATCCATCTTTAGTTTCTTTATTACCCATATGGCCTTGTACTCTAACTTAAATGGAAAGTGACAAGCATTTACATAAACAAGTTGGTATGGAGACATACCTATGGGGGGTCTTGTATACATTCTGGTAGGCCCAAAGAGCATCATCAAGCCTCTTTGACCAATCTGTTATATTAGCATTTACCGATTTCAACAGTGTTTGCTTGATCTGTCGATTGGACACCTCAACTTGTCCACTAGTCTGTGGATGGTACAGAGTGGCCACATTGTGGCGAACCCCATATTTCTCCAATATCCCTTTCAACAACTTATTGCAAAAGTGAGATCCGCCAAACTAGTAATAGCCTTGTTGTGCCAAACCTGGAGAAAATGTTCTTTTTCAAGAACATGGTGACACTCTTCCCTTCATTGTTATAAAGATATATGGCTTCCACCCATTTTAACACATAGTCCACCGCCACAAGTATATATTTCATCCCATGAGAACTCACAAACGGGCCCATGAAAGAAATGCCCTATATATCAAACAACTCAACAACTAGAATGGGATTTAAATGGAGCTCTTGCCTCTTCGAAATTCCTCTATCTCTTTGGCACCGACAACATGACTTGGCGAACTCATGAGCATCTTGGTGAAAGGTTGGACAATAGTACCCACGCTACAAAATCTTTTAGGCAGTCTGAATACCACAATGACGTGCACCCACAGGCGAAGAGTGGCATGACTCCAAAACACATAAAATCTCCCCTTCCGGCATGCAACGTTGAATAAGCCCATCAGCACAACTACAGTATAAATAATGCTCATCCCAAAAGAATTTTTTCAGATCATGCATGAACTTCTTCTCTGATGGAAAGACAAGTCCGATGGAACTATAACACTAACCAGATAATTCGTAAAATTGGCGAACCATGGAATCAAATCATGAGAAGCGGCCAATACATGCTCATTAAGGAATGAATCATAAATTTCAGCCTTTTAACCCAACTCTCCCATAGCTTCATCTCCAAATAGGACAACTGATCGGCAACTTGATTTTCAATCTCTTTTCTATCTTTTGCCTCAAAATCAAACTCTTGCAATAGTAGCACCCATCTAATCAACCTTGGTTTCTTATCTTTTTTTTGCCATTAAATACCTCAAAGTGGAGTGGTCAGTATACAGGAGTGAAATTTTTCGAAAGAAAATACCACCGCAAAGAGATCTTATTAAGTCACAATGTAGTTCTTTTGTGCTTCATTTAGGGCCTTACTTGCATAATAGATGGGGTGGAGGATTTTATCCCTTATTTGTCCCAATATCACACCAAGAGCAACCCTACTTTATCATCAAATGGCTTAATCCAATCTGGGGAAATAATTTCTACTGTAGAGACCAACTTCTCCTTCAACTCTCCAAGTGCCTTCAGACAACATTCATCAAAATAGAATTTACACTCCTTCTCAAGTAATTTGCAAAGTGGATGTGTAATTTTTAAGATATCTTTGATAAACCTCTGATAGAAGCCCAGATGTCCGAAAAAACATCTCACACCTTTTACAATGATGGGTGGCGGAACTATCTCTATGAATTCAACTTTTGCTCGATCAACCTCTATCCCCTTCTCCAAGATGCGATGGCCCAATACTGTACCTTCTTTCACCATGAAGTGACAATTTTCCCAATTCAGCAAAAGATTGCAATATTCACATCTTTTGAGAACCTCGGCCAAGTGACTCAATCAGCGATCAAAGGAGTCACCAACCACTAAAAAGTCATCCATAAACACCTCAATAGTGTCCTCCAACATATCGGAGAATATCGACATCATACATCTCTAGAAAGTGGTCGGTACATTACACAACTCCAACGTCATCCTCTTTAATGTGAATGTCCCATACGGAAAACTAAAGGTGGTCTTCTCTTAATCCTCTGGGGCAATAGAGATTTGATTATAACCCAAATGGCCATCAAGAAAACAATACAATCATTTCCATGTGAGTCTATCTAACTTCTAGTACATGAAGGGCATAGGGAAATGGTCATTCTCAGTCTATGCATATAGTTTCTGGTTATCCATACTAACTCTCCATCCAGTCATCGGACTCATTGGAACAAGCTCGTTCCCTCTCATTGGGCACTACTGTCATTTCCCCCTTTTTGGGCACACACTGAATAAGGCATACCCAACTACTATCTACAATAGGATATATGACTCCGGCATCAAACCACTTAATGATCTTCTTCTGCACTACCTCTTGCCTAGGTGGATTCAACCATCTCTAGTGCTCAATACTAGGCATGTGATAAGGCATGAGTTGTATTTTATGTGAACAAATATCGGGACGTATCCAATTAATGTCCACAATAGTCCAACCAATGGCTCGTTTAAACCTCTTCAAAACTTCCACCAAACACTCTACTTGTTGCACATTCAGATCAAATGTAGTGATTACTGGAAAAGTGCCATCTCTTCCCAAGAATACATACATCAGATGAGCTGGTAGAGCCTTAAGATCTAATTTTGGGGCCTCCTGAATAGATGGTATTGCGGCTGGAGACTCGCGATGCTTCATATCTAACTCCAAATTCTTTGGTTTAGACCGATATTTGCTTCGTTCATGTGCCGCAACCAAAGACTCATATTCTTCAATACCATCACTCTCAAAATTCATGATCACTGCCGCTAGTGCCTCAACATCAAGGCACTCTTTGATTTGTACGTTAGACTTGCTCTCAACTCTGAAAGATATAGTGGGTACCATTTGGAGCTCACCACTTTGCTTCATGGATCTATAAATGTTAAATGTTTCTTCATCATCGTTCAACCTAAACTTCATCTACCATTTTTCCATATCAACCAAGGCGCGACCAGTAGTAAGAAATGACCTCCCAAGAATAATAGGGACCTCAAAGTCCAACTCATAGTCAAGAATTACAAAATCGTCCAGAAATATGAACGACTCCACTTTCACAAGAAAAACATGGATTATCTTAATAGGCTTCTTCATTGTTCGATCGGCTATTAGTAACCGCATTGCAGTTCGGTCACCCAAATCCAATCTCATATAAATGGAAAGAGGCATGAGATTTATGTTTGCACCTAGATCACATAGTTCTTTGGCAAAGTGTAGTAATCCAATGGTACATGTAATAGTGAAAGCGCTTGGGTCTTCCTTATTCTTCATAAGAGACCTTGCAGCAATAGCACTACAATGTTGCATTGAGTCATCATCTTCAAGACTTACCGTTCTCTTTTTTGTAACCATATGTTTCATGAACGTATCATAACCGGGCATTTGCTCCAAATCATCCATCAAAGGGACATTGATGAAAAAATGTTTTAATATAGTGATGAAATGTCGTTATTTACCATCCTCGGTCTTCTTAACCAATATCTGAGGAAATGGTGGAGGTGTTAAAGGAATGGGGACGAATTTATAATGTACCTCTACTTCTTTCGCCGCTTTATCTATTTATTCACCACTATTTTCCACCACCTCCTCATCTTTTCGCATCTTATCTTCTACCACAGACGGGATAGGTGGATTAATAGTTTCCTTACATCCTCGAGTAGTGACTATCATACAATGTCCATTGTTTTTAGGATTTTTTATGGTACTGGTAGGAAGAGTTCTATATTGTCGTGGGTTCACAGTAGCGGACAATTCGTCCATTTGTAACTCAAGATTCTTAATTGAGACCGCATGTGCATCTACCTTTTGCCCAATATAAGCTAAATCACCTCTCAATTCCTCGGCGTGCTCATAGCATCAAACTTTCTCATCATCGTCTGCAACATATCTTCATCTTGTGCCATACTACCTCCACCATCCCTATGAACAACTTTCCAATTTTGAGGTGGAACATAGGGCCCATTTTGATCATTTCTATTACCATTGGTACCCCCATTGTAGTTGTTGTCGTGGTTGTAGTTTTCATGTAAAACATACTGGCCCTCTCTGTTATAATTCCTATTGTTCCGACCTTGATTTCCTTGACCTTGATGTCAATTTTCCTGATTTGAGCCTTGGGAATTTGGTTATACAGCTCCCATATAATCATTACATGCATAAGTATCCTCTTAATAATATTATTCATGCACTGGGAGTGATTATTTAGTCAAGTAATTCACCGCATTTACCTGCTCTCCTCCTATGGTGACATGTTTCAAAACCAACTCAAGCTCAGTTCTCATTTCAGCCATGAATCTGATTTGCGGTCACATTATATGTAGCTTTCACTGCAAATGTGTTTCTCCTAGTATCCGACTTTAAGTTACTCCAAGCCTTATTGTTGCGAGAGAAATTTTCCAACTTCTCTACAATCTCTGCATATGTGCAGTCACCATTAGAACCACCCACAATAGTATCAAGAACCACTTTGTTATTATCATCTTATCCCCGATAAAAGTACTCTTTTAAATACTCATCATAATGAGGTGGTTTGTGACACCTCTCACGCATGCAGTAAATTTGTCCTAAGAGTTACTTACCGAGTCCCCATGTAATACCAAAAAGTTGTTCACTTTATCTTTGTGGTTGAGATTCTTGGAACCAGGAGTACCATGCTAGGAACACATCCCTCGAGTGATCCCAGGTACAGATAGAATTATAGGGTAACTTAGTAAACTATATTGAGGCCTCTCCTATAAGTGATAGAGGGAGCACTCTCAACCCGATGACGTTCATTTCTAAGTCTGGCCTCCCCACACAATTCTTGTACACTGACCTCAGTTTGGTTATGTGGGCATGGGGATCCTCAAATTGTATCCCAAAAAACAAACCCCTTGCGGTGAGCATCTGGATCAAGCTACTAGTTACCACGAATGTGTTCCCCTCCAGTAGAGGAGGTAGAATAAGCGTTTCATCAAAATCAGTGATATTTAAATTGCCCCTACGGAACACTTGAGGGCATGGGATGGGAGGCTGCATCCTCAAAGCATCATCAGCTGGGTTTTCCGCAGCCACTTGATTGTGAGCATGAAACAGTGGTTGGAGATGGCAATTGATTCCATCACCTAGAACAGCTGGGTTCTGCGAATTATTCATTCTTTGAACTGTACGGTTTCGTTCAGGATAGAATGAAATTATTGGTTCTACTTGACTATGTTTACTTATCATACAATAAAGCTAGAATTGAAAGAAACAAAAAACAAAGAAAAAATAAAAAAAAGGAAATTGTTGACTAAATATCAGTAATGTTATTAAGGTTAATCTAAAAGCCATATTCCCAGATAGCGGCGCCAAAATTTGATATGCTCAAATTACACATCCTTAATAAAGTATAAGTGGTCGTATCAAGTAAAGAACCCAACTATTAGATTGGGGTCGATCCCACAAGGAAAAGGATTTAGACTTAACTTCAATGTACAATTACTTCTATTTAGTCAAGTCGTTTCTGAAAATAGGTAATTAAAGGGGGAGATTTTTTGAAACAAAAGTCTTGAAATATCTCTAAGTGAAATAATAAAGAGATGTAAATCTTTAGTGTTTATCAAATTGTGAGAGAAATAAGGGTGTAAGTGTTCCGCATAGGTTCATAACGCCATACTCCAAGTTGTAACAATTCTTCCCTAGTGTTTTTTATGCAAAGTGAAAGGTTAGGTATCTCTAAGTCCTTGCTACGGAACAAAGAGAATTTCACCGCTTACCTTGGTCTGCTTACATGTTTCTAAGTTACTAACCCTTACCTTTACTTCATATTAATCATCATATTTGATGTATGGCCTGGTTATTACTTTGCACCAATCGAGACTACCTTATTAGATAGTATCCCACTAAATCTATGTTGATAATTCTAAGGCATGCACTCATTAAAAAGTCTTCTAAGCGAGAGAATTATCAATGCATGCAACAACCTATTTGAGAATTGTTATTAAGCAAGGTTTAATTTGTTAACAACCCATGGTTCCCACAGCCCTAGTAGTTGATTTAGTTACCCATGCATAGAAGAACACAATTCAAATTGGTTAAACAATAAATCATGAACTTACTTTGACAAAATCGACAAAAATCCAGAAATTCAACTTGACACAATAAGAACTCACTTGAAAACCAAATCCAAAAATTTAAATTAATTCTAAAGTTGCAAAACACAATCACCAAAGACAAACTAAGAATAGTAGTAATAGAATCCAACCCCAAAAATGAGGTTTTACACTCTACTTATATAAAATATTTTCCTAAATTATAAGGAATTAAAATAAGGAAAGTTTTCCAAAAACGCGGCTTCAATTGACGACCCCCACAGATAATCAGTTGATGAAACAACGGACCGTCGAATCAGTCGATGGACCAACAGCACGGTCCTTCTAAGCGTCTACGATCTGTCGATGCCTTTCATTGTTCCAAACTTAGACTTTCTTCAACTTTTGGTACTGATACTTTCTCTTATATGATCGATGCTTCAAATTTACGTAGTCCCACACTTGGTCAAATTTCCTGAGTTTCTCCAGATGCCTGAACTTTCAGTCGACGGTCACCATCTATGGTTCATCGATTGAACGATGGGTCGTTGATGGACTTCGTGGGTAACCTCTGCAATAAATCTCAGCTGCCTTCTACATTTTGGTTTCAGACAACTGTCCTGCAAAAGGAAGACCAAAACATATTAAAACTTCTACAAAAAGGCTCTAGACACACACCTAACTTATGGAAAAAGCAT